TCTAGATGCTGTTTATCAATATTTAAAGCATAACTGGCTCTGATGAATGTGGAATTAGGACTTTTTCCACTTTGAAGGATTGCATTTAAATTTACCTGCGACTAAGACAGTGTCTGTTTAACCAAATATAGTCTATAATATGTGGATTTATCCTGTGTTTTCTTCTGAAGATATAGAATTGTGCAGAGGTAAACAGAGGTAAACCCCCCTCTTATTTTTTTATTTTTATCTAATATGCTCTCTCTGGATCATGCAAAATAATACATTCAAGGGACAGCAAATAAATGTATTGTATTTACATGTGCACTGGAACTAGAAGAGGAACTGACACTGAGCATTTAAAGTATTAATATTAGAAGTTGTACATCTGGGCTGTAGTTACTCTGTGTAGCTAATTTCATGTATTTTATCTATGGCTGAAACAATTAATCATATTAACAAATCATTTAAATAATCGTGAACTATGTAATTGATTAATCGTTAATTGGAATATAGGGCCACTAAAATGTGCCTTTAGACGACAGAGCGACCCACTTAGAGCAGGAATTATACCAAGATTGTAAAAAATATGTCAACATTTTGCAGTAAAAAAAAAAAAGTTTTTGTCTGTCAATATTCTCCATCCAGAACTCCTCCAAAGGAAACGTTTAAACCTTTCTGTTTCACCTGGTTTCATTTCATAAAAGATCTTCTTTAAGGAGCCTTTGGCTATCTGATTAAAGGATAAAATAAAAGAAATCCTAACGTTGTGAACTTACATTTCTCAAGTTCCACAAATCAATAAAACTCTCTCCTGCTTCTTTATAGAACTCCAATCAGAAGCTTTCGCCTGTTTTAGCGTAGATAATATTTTTTTTTTAATTTGGACTAGTTTCGTAGCCCAATATTAATTTATTTTAGCGTCTTTTTTTTCCGCGCTCCAAGCACCCGCGCGCGCGCACATACAGACTAGAAAACACACAATCAGAAAGAGAGAAGGCGGAACTTAAGGCAGAATAATCAGAGAGTTAAACCGCGCAGCACAGTTGATGCGCTGCTATGTGAAAGGGACAGGAAAGAGCAGGCAGCTGCAGCTACCAGGCAGAGAAGCTGCGAGAGGAAAAGAAGCGGCTGCTGTATAGTAAATTATAAACATGTTGTTTACATCCAATTATTGGTAGGGACAAATGGGTCCGTCCAAAATTTTGGTAGGGACATGTCCCTATGGTCCCTATGCAAACCTACGCCCATGGTAACATCATGCTCCCTTATACGAAACGTTGGATTCAGGAGTTTGTAAGAGAGAGTTATTTGCCTCTTTGTTCAAACAAACAAACAACAACCTTTTTATCAACCCTGTCTGAATTTCATATTTAATTCTTTTTAAAACTTAGTTTTTCCAAATTAGTGCTTTTTTCGACAGGTTACCCGATTATGTAATAAATGGAGTGCAGACAGCAGCCGAATCTTTGAGCTTTATCAAACTGTTATTTGGTTAAATTAGCCTAAAATGACATTAAATCTGGCCTTTATAAAACACATGGATATCTTTTGAGGTAATTTAGATGTTTTATGTGATATATTTTTTTTTATTTTATTGTAATAAAGTGCATTGGATCAAGCAAAGAATTTCCCATTGGTAAAATGTTGTATATACTTGTGCCTTTACCATAGTTATACTCCTTTATATTCATAGAAGAAACTCCAACATTAAAAATTTTTTAGATACAAACAGCATAAAGCTATATGATCACTTGACAAAGCTGGTTTTAATTACCACAGAGGGGCTGATTTAACTAATTTGAACACATCAAGCATTTAAATAATTTAAATTGTCTTGCTCCAACTACAGCTGCAGGGAGGCTCCTAGCACATCTGGCATGTTAAAGATGGATCAACTGGGAAAAAATAGGGATAAAAGGGGCTTTTAGGTTTACCTTTAAAAGGTGCTCAAATCACAAAGCCTTTCAGCATGGTCTGCATTAAAAGCCTGGAACAAAAGCAAAGAAGAGGCAGATGCAGGCTTCATGAACCTATGATCTGTAGTGATAGGCGCATAATGAGAACCAGACAAGTGTTCGTACCATAACACATACAAATTCCCTTTCATTATTAATGGCTGACTACCCTCTTCATTAAGGCAAGGGCGAGGACTAGAGGGGGACCAAGAGGGACCCAGAGGGAAGTGGAAAGGATGTTAGATATTGTGGATGTTACCGATAAAGATGGACCAGCTGACTCTCAGGCCTTCCCAAACTGTAAGAGTTTAGGCATGCAAGCTGTCAAGCTAACAGACTCCAGATAGGACAGCGAGCACCGGAAGCCGTGATGAGGCCCTGCAGTTTTTGCTGTATAAAGTTCACGTCTCTAAGGCTTGTAGTTCTGCAGTTAGCTTTGATATTGTGTACACAATTTATTTCTGCAAGGAAACTGGAACATGTTACTTTAACCGAACTGACGTTTTCACAGCTAGGCAACGCCTACAGTATCACAAGATTATGATAAAATAAATTTTGGTGGCTAAAACTTAGAGTTTGTATAACTATGTGTTCTAATCCAATCTAAATATAAACAGGGCATGTTTTCATAAGAGATTATTTGCATTCAGAGCTGTCATGCACATTGAATAACTATTTTATGTTTAAGCTGAATGATCCTTTTTGCACAGGCTGGACTAGGGTATAATTAACCTTAAGTCAAACCAACAAGATAAAAAAAAAAACTTACTGGCGTCAGTAACGCTTAATGCATGCATTAGTTTATATACTGACAACTTGAGGCACGCAGGTCATGCATGTTTTATGGCATTGTTTAACTCTGGCTCTACACCCTAAAAGCAAATCTTTGCAGCAGAACAGAGGAGTGCATAAAGCATCTTTTCACAAAGTGATTGATGATGTGTGTTGTTGTGAAACACTCAGCCAGGGCTGCTCTATGGGCCCTGCAGAGACTGGGGAGGTTAGAGAGATTACATGTTCAGGTAAAAAGTCCAACATCTAGAGAAGGTGCAAGCTCAGACAAGCTGCTCAGCTTAGTTTTCAGAAAGCGTGCACAGCACAGAGTATTACTGAAAAGGGAATCATACGACTTTATAAGATCACTCAACTAAATCCTTCCACACAACCTTTCCTGACATTATATGATGAACTCTGAGTCACTCACCACAGTTTAAATTCTGAAAGCCTTCACTGATTCTTTAATCTCTCATTGTGTTTAATTTCTATAGAGATAATGAGACACAATTTGTGTTTAAATCCAGCTTGTCAATTGAGTTGCATCACAACAATAATTAGGTCCATGGTTATGAATTTACTACATGGTCTGTTTTAATAATCGTAAATCCTCCTGCATGGAAAAAGCATAAAGCTTCATGTCAGCTACAATATATTTTATCAGTGAAATGTGACAGAAGTATTCCCATTGCTTCAAAGTTTTGTAACATTTTTAAAGGCAGAGATATTAAGAGATTTTTTGTTGTTGCAAGAAATGGTTCTGAATGGGTTAAAACAACAAAAGGCCTGTACAAATCAGGCTGTCATTTGCTGTGGATTTACATTATATTTACATCCCTAATGCATGAAGTTAATGACGTGAAAAAACTTGGAATTACGTTATTAATGGTGCTTTCTTCTTTTTATTTTTATTTTTTTTTACCCCTAGACTTCCCAGAATGCACAGGTCTGTTCATTCATAGCTTTTGAGAGTTTGGAGGTCCTTTAATTAGTCTGTTTGGTTACTGTTGAATGACAGTTGGCTGCATGTTGTGGTTCAAGCAAAAGTGTCTGACATTACTACTTCTGGAGCCTCGGGCATCTCAGGAGCAAACACAAAGCACCTTTTTGACTTTAAAACACTGTTTGTACAAGAATCTGCACAGTAAGGTTTGTGGTTTTAACATATCAACAGCACACTGGAGTTTTCTTTACATTATTATATCATTCCATTCTGTATGCTATATTAACACAAAGTGTTCTAAATAATTGAAAGAAAATTATTTATAAGACAAGTATTAAAATCATTGACAAACAAAATTTTGAAAAGTGTTTTTCTCATTTCTTTATGCAGCTACCGGTAAATAAATTTCAGGGCAACTATGCACCTAACAACTTTTAAGAGTACTTTGCTTAATTGCTTGAGCAAAGATGTGTGCCCTTTAATGGACAATAGAAAGAATATAGAAGTGCAACAATACTAACAATCAATAAAAGAAGAAGAACTGGGAGGAAAAGTAATTTTAAAAGGTATCAAAAATGCAGTTAGGAAAAGCTGTTCATAGGATAAGTGGTATTTTTTTTATACAACAAATCAGGCCTTTAAATTAGAGAAACAATAATAAAGAAAAACATTGTGAGAGGTTTGCCACTATTCTGCGGACATGAAAGACATAAAAGAGGGCAATCTAAACATTTTGGCCTACAAGTAAAATGTGAAAAATAATTAACATATGCTTTCCCTCTGAACCCACTTTCCCCTGATGAAAGGTCATTCAATCAATCAATCAATCAATCAATCAATCAATCAATCAATCAATCAATCAATCAATCAATCAATCAATCAATCAATCAATCAATCAATCAATCAATCAATCAATTTATTAATGTTGTTTACAGATTAAAGAAAAAAAACGGAAAATAAATAATGAGAACATTAAAATATAATCAAAAATAATTTAGAGAGAGGGAAAATTTAGTTAAAGAGAATAAAAATATTTAAAAAAAATTGAAAGATGGTGGCAGTAGAATTGTGCAATGAAAAACCTTTTTTGTAGCAGGAACAGGGAAACTTTTTAGAATTAATAGGAAAACTATGTTTGGTTATGTTTTGTTTTAGAAATATACTCTGTTTGGTTGATCATATAAAATTGAAATGTAAGAAATATCTTTAAGGTTTAAATGGTATGAAAACTTTTGTAAGTTTCTTTAAAGAGCCCAAACTCTTAGAGTTTTTTAAGCAATCATCAACATAGGGAATATGCTATGTAAGACTAGTAAATGGTTTTGTTTTATAAAGAAGCAACTTACTGTAGGGAAAGCTGAGGCGTGGAGTGACATCATTTTCTGTGACAGCCACGTGAAGGAAACCAATAAGTAGGACATTGCAGGCTAGGAGACACAGCCAAACCATCCTCATCGTCCCCATGCCCCCTCAGGTCCACCAGCCAGCTGTCACTATTTGTCTCTTTTAGGCTTTGAGGGAATACATGAAGATCTTCTGCTTCTGTCTCCTTTATCTGTCGCTCTTCTCCTGTATTTCCAAGCGCTTCAGAGGGAAAACCAGAAAGATCTTGCAAAGACGGGAGACTCTTGTTGTCTGAGATGGCAACTGGTGACCCGAGAGAATGACGAAAAGCCTCTTCCATGCATCCACTAAACCACAGGGTCTGAGCAGATACCTTTGAAGAAAAATACATAAAGTTATATTAGCATTTTTCATTAGCAAGCTTTTCATATATATATGTCCTCAGGATCTACTCTCCTGCATAATTTGAGTATATCCCATTTTCAACAGGCCTGACTTAAATAGATGGGTGATTAGCAGGCCCCTTAATCCCATGGTAGCCACTGAGAAGGGAATACAATCATTTGATGCAGGTGCTGGAGCAAAGACACTTCATAGCCTGTAACTTCTGTAAAGCTTTCATGTTAAACTGCATGTTTAAGTTTTATTGATGGTGTACTGTAGCTACATGCAGCTACATGAGGGATTGCTTCAAATTCAATCACACAACGTCAATGATTGTCTGCTATCGCTACACGCTCATCCAGGAGGAGTGAAATCTCCAAGTCAGTGACGCAGGGCATTTAGCTGGGTTTCTTTAAATACAAAACTTTTTTCAAAATCTGTTTGTGTTATTTACTTAAATGGACTTTAAAGTACCTTGAGATTACACTTGTGAATTGGCACTATATAAATGAAGTGAATAGGACTGAATTAAATTAGATTGTAAAGCCAGCATTGGATTGGATGTTATTACCAGATCTAAGTAGTCACTTCAGAGAGAAAGTGAAAACAGCATTAAGAAGCCACCTGCACTTGATTATGGTTTACTGTGTTTTCTCCAAACAGTTATCCACTGATGTTTCTGATGAAGCAACATTAAATATGCTTAAATAGCTCATCTATTTGCTGTTGCTTAGCTTTTTATCACATATCCTTTCATATTGGTCTTTCAGATTTAGCCCCAACATTGCCCCCGATAACCCCTATCGACAACTTAGCACCTGAGTCACTGATCTCAGATCAATTTTCTGTAAAAAAGTCTTTGTCTTCTAGTGTCTCTCTTGTGATTCTGTTTTATTTTGTCTTTTGCAGCCTTCAGCAAGAGTCATTCACATGTGATAGTCACTCTGCGGTGTGGAAGCTCCAACTCACTTCCTCCATTTACCCTAAGGTGTGATTACAGTCTGGCTGTATGTTCTTCAGGTTTGTCAGATAAAACCAATGAAGTGTCTTTAATGAATTTATCAAAAAAGGAATATGCTTTCTGCCTTCATGTTGCTTAATATTAAACAACAGTGCAAGAACTTCTGGACAATGGGGAGAAAAAGAGTACAGTCGAAGCTTAAAGCCACAAAAACATAAACATATGGCATAAACAAGGCATTGGGTAAATCTTAAAGGATCATACAAGTGGACCAAAAAATGTATTCCGACTGTCAAGGAAGGAGAGTTTGAGTTTTTTTTTGTGTGCTGTAAAGAAGTAGGATGCTGCATAATTACGTGCCAGACTGAGACAAAGTTAAATAGATCCGATATAAGAAAAAGAAAACTCCTATGGTGAGCAGAAAGTATCAAATTTAAGAAAAAAATACAGCCGTTTGATTTGAATAGAGTTTGTAAAATAAAATAATCAAAATCACACCTTCAGATTAATCCTTCAAAAGTAAAGCTGGGTTCATCCCCTGCTCAGACCCCACAAGCACAAATATTAGTGGGCTTGTTAAAGAAAAGAAAAACACTTTGGAAGGGATAAGTTAATTTACAACATAATGAACATACGAGTACAACTAGGATTCTGATGTAACCAACTGGGCAACTTAAAATATTTATTATATTGTTAGGTAAAGCCATGAAAAACAAAATTACAAATAAATTTATCACTAAATAAATTTTGCAGGTTTTAAAAGCTATATTTAAGTGATATTAACATTAATATATGCTACAGTGTCAATAGGCATCCAGTTAGCTTGGCTTTTATAAGACACATGCACATGACAGCAGCTAGCTTCTCTCATTTCAGTTTAAACAGGGCAGTGCTACAGAACACCTGTAACTCTAGCTAAATCCAACTTAAACTAAAGTTTAACTGCAGCAAACAGGAATACTGGTAATTATACTGTAATAAAGTGTTGCAATTAAGTATAACTTAAGCATTGTCCAACATATCCTGGTTAAAGCCAGACAGTCATACATGAATAATTAGCCAATTTAGAATTCATTTGACAGGAAAAACCATTAATAAACACATGGTTATTGGAACCCTAGACATGTCTCTTTCTTGTTAACGCAGTCTGCTTCTTATAGTATGTGAATGTGAAAATGTAACAGCACATACTAGGGATTTAAAGTTTCCTTTTTCTTGTGTTCATCTCAGGCAGAGCTGAAAATGTGACATTGTTGATTAAGGTTTTAGTTGTGTTTTCAGTTTAAGCAAACTGATTTGTAATAAATTATTAACCATCTGTGTATCTTCTTGTGTTATAATGGAAGTTAAGTAGAAATAAATGTCTGAATTCCTTATATTAATATGATTGTACTGAAAAACCTTCGATAAAGCTTTAAGATGATAAACAACAGTTTGAAATCAAAATTTAATTTTGATGCCTGTATAGGAAACCTTAAAATTTAACTTATTCAATTTGTGAAAATTTATATAGATTGTAGTAATTTATTAACTTGTTTCAGTTTATGTCCTCTACTAATAAAGTAAAAATAAAATAATCTGCTCACCAATACAGTCAAAACCTCTCCATTAAAACAGTAATAGAGTTATAGGGTAATTCATTGATGTAAGTCTACTGAACACAGTGAGGCGTAAAGGAAAACCTCAGCACATACACCCCAGTTACAACCTCAAATGCTCCATTACACCTGCCACAAGAAGCTGCTCAGACGCAACCAAATGGAGATTCAGTTTCATGTGAGCTGTGGAAATCAATGGCAGACCATAGTGAGCAGTCTATTCCTGGATTCTGTCATGTAGATCCAGATTCTTAGTCAATAACCACTCGGATGCTGGTTTGGAAAGCAAAAAAAACTCAGACAGGAAATAGGAGAAGCTTTTTTATGCAGCAGAGTTCTAATAAAAACCTGGGATTTATCATTAGTATTTGGGTTGTGTGTCAGTAAGCAAAAGAAGCCAGCATGGATCTGACCGAGCAAATGTGGAGAAAGTTGGAGGGTATGAGAACAAGTGCGCCTCTGACAGCAGAGAAATCAACATGCAACTCTGCACTTCACTGCTCTTGCCTGCATGATGCATAAACTGAATCATCCCTTTCACCCTCTACACAGACATGATAGTGTACTCCCTATCTGGATGGTGCTCCCAAAACTCTGTCTACCATCTCCTCCTACAGCACTCGAAGATTTCTCTCTGTACTGCCTTCAGATTTAGACTCATACTGTAAATTCTACAGTTTGTTTTGCTTTGACAAACTTTAACATTGAGTTCAAAACACTTTAATTTTCTTATAAAGGCCAAGATACTTCTTAAAAATATACATAAAATGAATAAGGCATTAAAGATATATATATATATATATATATATATATGTATATATATCTTTAATGCCTTATTCATTTTATGTATATTTTTAAGAATTATCTTGGAGTATCTTGATACTTGAAGTATCTTATATATATATATATATATATATATATAGATATATATATATATATATATATATATATATCTATATATATATATATACATATATTCGTTTTACACATCTAGACCATCATATTTCAGCAAACACATGAGTCTAGCGCCAACATACACTACAGATTTCATTATTATAACCCTCCAGACCACAAACTTCCTCTGGTTCAAGACTACTGTACATCCAGGAATATAAACCAAAAATGGAGAAACAGCAAACCCTGAGTTTGTCTATGTCAAGGTTAAAACACATTGCTTGGAGTTACCTTTTACTGTTTTAACTATTACCTGAAATGTACTTTCTAATGCATTTTCTTTTTTCCATTTTTGAGTTGCTTTGTCACCTTAACTGGGCCATTTTTCTCACATAAATATCAAGATACAAAGTGAGTTTAACCTGCTGACAAGAGAAAGAGATTAATGAATCAGCCAAATAGATATTCTACAGGAAATAAAACTAAATGTATTTGTAACACAAGAAAAGGAGATTTATTAACGCATGGAAAAGCACTAAAACCGCCTAAAATATGCATCTATGACAGCAAACCATCAAGTAAAAAGTTGTTTTTGATGCTAAGCTGATATAAACACTCCTAATAGAGATTTATTGTGTTAAAAGACAGAAGTTGATATTTTTTCACCCAGTCTGCCAAAACATTTTACAACAGGGTATTTCAGAAAAGAGGAAATTACTTTTATATTTAGCTGAACTGGGAGTTTCCCAGAACATCGTCAGTCTTTTCCTGTTGTCGTGCTCCAGCACTACATATATACATATGTGTATATATACTACATGACAGCTCCACTTGTATGAGTGCGAGTGGTAGAAATAGCTGTTCAGTTGAAACAGGTGGCAAGCCCATAAGCATGTGCTATTTCAGTAGAACAGCAAGGGTCAAGGCTCAAAGCACCGTCTGGAAAAGTGCCAAATTTGACCTTTCTGCATTTGATGCGTGCCAAAAGCCACCTGTATGTAGAAGCACATGTGTCATGTCCTAAGTCATGTATTTCCACATGTGGCCTTCAACCTGTGTCTAACTCCCCCACCTCCTACTCTGTTTAAAAGAACAGACAGATGCGAGACAAGGAAAATATAATATATGGAGAATATCATCTGTCTGAAGAGATTTAAATGGAAGTGAATGCCTGCAGCACATATGCTCAGAGAGCCTGGTTTATCATAAGTGCTGTGTGGGCTCACTCTTAAGACCACTTGTGTAAAGTCCCCACAGTCTTTCAAAATGTTGCTTCACTGTGGTAAGAGTGCAATCACACCAGAAAAATCCTTCAGTCTGCTTGTTTGGTCCAAACCAAAAGCGGACTTATATTGTGTTTTCTTTAACTCACAGCAAAGCCATGCATGTCAAGATCAATGCTCCTGTTGGTCAGAAATAATAAGGCAGGACAGCACAGATCCAGAAATGGAGGAAAACTGCTAGAGGAGACCTGCATGCAGCAACGTATTTGGATAATTATTCTAGTATTACATTTGCAAAATCATGTGTGTCAAGAGCACCTCTTTTAATGCAGAGTTCAAGACTTTTTTAATTTGGTAACAGTGTCGCAGAATGCATCCTTCAAGCCGAGGGAACAGCATAGCCACGCAACATCAAAGCAGGTATGAATTTCATACTAGGTTTGCTTCTATATTGGCTTGCTAAGTCCAAAGACAGGTATGCTTTCTGCGTTTGGGTTGGACTGAGGTTGGTTTAAAATCATTCCAGAGACAAACCGCACCAGAGTCTGTTTGGAAGCAGACCGAGGCCACATCAAAGACTGGGTCACGGTCCAATTAGTCGTTTCATACCAGAGCTGGCTGGTCATTATTTACACCTCCACAAAAGTCCTGCCCATGATGAGAAACAAAGTCTGGTCCATTTAAACAAACCTAATGTGGCTGGTGTGAATCCACCCTTTGTCAGAACTGGTGATGTTTGTGAATTAAGCATGTTTATATTTGCACAACATAAACCAAGTACCACCTTAAAATGGTGTGACGAATCATTATCAAAACTAAGAATTTTAGTTTTTTTACTAATTTCACTTTAATGTTACTTCAGTAACATTAAAGCAATGAGCCAGAGATGGTTCTTCAAATTTAACACAAAGATGAATGGTTTACTCTAGCCTATAGGTGGTATTGCTTTACGTTTTACAGCATCTGAAACATACAAACAATACACAATTATTTACCATACATGCAATTGTAGAAAACAATAAAAGAATAATCATGGAAAAACATGATGTATTTTTCAAACCAGTTTAAGAGTCCCATGCAAAATATTTAGTCACGTTTAAACTACAAGCCTTAATAGAGTATTTTAAGCAATGGACTACATAAAGTAGGACATAACTTGGCATTTTATCTCTGCAAGGCTGTGCAAGAATATTCTAATGACTAGGGTGGTATGTTGCGGTAAAAATAAAAAAAAAAACCTTAAGAAATTGCCCTAACTGAAAAATGTCTATGTACTCCTTAACTTTTCAAGTTGATCAGAATGTGTATGAATTTATGATATATCAGTAATTACTTATAATAGGTAACCAATGATAGTATGTTTTCTTAAAGCACAAATATGAAAAAGTAATTTCCACTCCTCAAAATAGGATAGATAGGAAAATATTCTATTCAGTTTATGTAAGTTTGGTTACAGATAGCAGAAGAACACAGCGCAATAAGAGCTCTAGTCAGAGCAATCAGTAAAAAGGTTTTAAACAACTGAAACTGTAACAAAAAAACCTAACAAGGACTCACTGAGGTTCACTTACTGCAAGTGTTTTGGTTCATAATTTCCATTGCAATTAAATAGGTTTCTAAAAGTCTACATTAGTCTAAAAATGATAACGCAACTTTAGTATAACTTACAGACAGAAATTAAATGTTTGTATTTCTCCTCAGGAATTTATCAAAGCAAACCTTTTCTCATTTTAAACTCACATCCAGACTGAGTTTACAGTATTTAGGGAGCTGTAGCTGGCACAGCATCAGCCAGAGTTAATGCTACAAGACATCTGCATCTCTCAGTGATTGACTGAATACTCCTTCCTGCTTGACCTATTTTTCGTCCAATTCCCAGACCCTGTTCAGGATAATTAATGGCTGGTTCATTTCAGAGTAAGCATACAACAGTAATTATGACTATAAGCCACTCCATGGACTTTTAATTGCCTAATTAAAATCTTATTAAACTGTTGAACAAAGATAAGGGACATTTTGAACCCTTGCTCAAGGAAATTCAATGCATCAAACTTACTTCCTGTATGGAGACATTGGGTCAAAAATGCCAGTCTTTATCAAAATTTTTATTTTTAAATTTTTTTTTTATTCCACAATTTTGGTAAAAGTAATCAGCAATATATGGAGAGGTTGGTGTAATTTAAAGCTTCAAAAGTAAGTAAGCACATTTCACTAGTTCTTAAATCACTGTTCTCTTAGAAGTTTATATGTATTAAAAGATATTCCGTTTCATTCAATTTCCCCTCTGCAACAATTTCCATAACAGATGCCGAAACTGCAGACGAGGCTTGCTGATAAAATGTCAAGCGGCGGAGCACCTGGTTTGATTGCAGAGTCTGCCACAGCTTTTAATGCCTGACACTGCGAAAAAAGAGCAGCAGGAGCTCCGCAGCAGAACCAGAAAACCTGGACAAAAGGAGCTTTCACTGAAGGTTTTTTTTTATAGAGATCCTATATCCTATACAATGCCTTGATTTTTTTTTTTTTTTTTTTTTGTGACAGACTGACACAAAGTTGTGTTACAGTAAGCAAGGAACTTTTATTTACTGTATAGAAAACTCTTCTACAAAGAAAATCATCATTAATAACTCAGCAAAGCAAACTAATCAAAATAAACCTGTTACTAATGAGGTTAAGGAAAAGATGATTATCACTATTTAGTTGACCAAAGAAAATGTTGAGCAAAGAACAGGGCGAACATAGAAGAATATAGCTTAATGACGGTGAGAGTCTTCAAACAGCTGAAGGGGATTGAATTATTGAAATCAAATCATATTTACATGTTAAAATGGCCAAGACAAAATCCAAATGTATATGGTATTGTTATTTTGTGGCAAAACCTGAAAAAAATGTTTAATGTTTCTAAAAACTCTTCATCCAATAAGGGTAAAGTTTAACCCGTAGTTGTTATCTACAATTTAATATGGTACCTGGTCACAGGAGCAGCAGTTTAAGCCCTTTTTCCAGACAAGAATCACTTTGAGGTCGACCATTAGACTATCTTCATGGTCTGCAAAACCCCACCTTTGAAGATGGCAATCCTCATCGAGTGTGCACAAAGGCCTTAAAATAAGGCTTTGCTTATCCAAACTAATATTCCTTCCCGGATATTAACCCTTTGAACCTGATCTTCTGACGGTTTGTGTGTCCTAAAACAGAGGAGATCTTCCAACAAGGTGCAAAGCGTTTTGCATTTTAGCAGGCGGTGTGTGCAAACCTTTTCAAATGTGCAAACTGCGCAAATTAATGGAATGGAGGATATGTAAATTAAAACATTTAATTTAAACATTTTTAAATAGGAAACTCAATTGTTGCCATGTTTTTTGAGTATTTTTTGTACTATTCAAAGTCTGATGAAAACTGACAAATCATGCAATCACGGTTGCCATGAAGGAAGCAATGGTCCAAACCAGAGAATGGAGAGAGAATCTGCGAATACAAACATAGACTTTCAGAATCAACAATAGCAGAGTTATATTAATAAAGGTGTGGGCAAAAATGATCGAAGCAGGATGGCAGCCAATCTTTAAACTAAAACAAAATAAAGACTGAATATCGTTTTACTCACTTACAGATACACTGGGCCTCTCATAGATTCTTGTTACATTTTTCCAGTGAATTCTGCCAAATCTGTGCAAAACACATCTGACAGAGATTAACCTGGCTTAAAATTGCCAACATGTTATTTTTAAACCCCCAAGCATTAGGGAGGAGAAAGAGGTAAAGGATCTTCTTAATGTGCCCAATTTAGGGATCAAAAAAAGAAAAAAAATCTGTGTAAGTTGATCCACTATGAAAGGAAACTTGCTCTGTTGGTCTTGCTGAAATGGCCTATTTCTTTTCTAAAGTCTATTTTACTGTAGTCACACCCTGTTCTGTGAAATGTAGCATGTATACCTATAACACACCTTTCAGAATCTGATGCTAAGATGGCAACCAAATAAAGCATTTTTTAAAACTTTTTAACCACACATTATTCTTTAAGTTAGTTTGAGTTAGTTTAACATTTTTAGGCTAAATCCAATATCCAAACATCATGCTCCATATGTTGTCCAAAGTTAAATGTTTTTTTTTTTGTTATGCAACATTCAGCAGCTACATCTGCGGACCATCTGGGATATCATATTACACTGACAAAATTCAAAAGGAGATCCTTTTGAATTTTGTCTGTGCCACATGATATCCTGACAGTTGGCGCTGCTGCTTAGATTACAGCCTTTTCCATTCTTAAATAGGTATCGCTGATGAATACTAAAAGATTACTTATCAAGCATTCTCCACTGTATTTAACCAGATTAAATCATTATAGCAGCATTACTGTGTCATAAATTTACTAAGGAATTGAGGCTTACTATAGAGTACTGCTTAAGGGTGTTTTTACACAAAGCATATTGTACAGTTCAAGATCTTTTCTAATATGACTCTGCCTGCACACAAACACAGGTGAAAAAAGAGCTCTATACAGCATCAGATAGAAAGCATGCCAAATGCAGTCCAGTCTAATAATAAAAAAAACAATAACAATATCTAGAGCCTGTGTTTTTATTAGGGTTCCTGACTGCTGCCAGAGAAAGGCAAAGAGCTGTTTCAGACCTGGCTGCTGGCAAGTAGTTAAGGTCTGGCGAAACATTCTGTCCCATCCAAAAGCATCTGTTCATTTAAAAGAAATAAAAACATAAACAGGTTGAATTCTCTGGAGTGAAACGTTGGTTGTGATATTACAACGGTGATAACCTATGTTAACCTGAAATACTTATTACTTCATTAACTGTACCGATAAAACTGAAAACTGGATTGCAAAATCTTTGAATAATGTGATTAGAATTGAGAAAGTTAGAAATAAGATGTTTACTTCTTATTTCTGAAACAGACCAGCTGTATGTGCAATAAGTTTCTGCATTCTCCTAACCAGTATTTGTTGCAGGTTTTCAAACCAAATAAGGAAGCTTGTTTTAATGATCAAGTACCAAAGATTAATGTTATTTCCACAAAAATGTATTAAACTGAGGATTTTTATATAAGTATTTTATAAGCAGCTAATATTTTTTTCAGAAGTAGATACTCTCTTGATGTTGAGAGTCCAAGAGGTTTCAGGATCAAAGCAGAATTCTCCCATCTTAAAGCAACTTTAACCCCCAAAGTAATTTATGTAAACACTATTTCATAAACCTTTCAACAAAGGCATTGTAGGTAGAATGTTGTGGCAGCATCAATGACCTTCCTCAGTAAAAACTTACTACAAAAGAATGTGAAAAAATTATTTGTCTAATGTAAAAATGAGGCTGCCTCAAGGCAAAAAGTATCATATTACTTTAGGTGAATAATTACTGGGACTGGAAATACTTCACATGTTCAGTTTTTGGTTATTTAATTCACACAGGAAACAAAAGGGTTTGTGTACCTCCTCCTACCTTTAGTTTCCCCGGAATCCTGACCTTATTTGCAAATAAAATTCCAGCAAATTGGTATGAACAGGTCCAACGCTCAGTAAGTATTATTTGCCATAAAAACACTATATAGTTAAAGCTTTTTAAAGCTTGTAAAGGTTACTTACACATGGGCTTTAGTTGGACTAGCTTCCTTGGCCCAATTACTAAATGAATCTGTATTCATCCACTAAATTAGTATTTACAATTAATAATCATTTAAAAAGAGTCATCTGCTGCACATAAGATATAAACTACTAATATCTTTTTAACAAACCTAAATTCAAACATTAGGACTTCATGCTTAAGTGTTGTCATTCGTCTCCATCATTGTTTTCCTGCCAACCCAGGCAGGTCAGTTCACAACTTATAGCCCAACATCGTATAAGTATTAAATGTATTAATATTTTATCAGTCAGTGGACTTAATAGGGACAAATGTTGCACAATAAATTAAGACAAAATATTATTATTCTTCATCTTCAGCAAATTCAGATAAGACAACCCTTTCCATAGACAAACAGACAATGGGCTATATTTCTCTTACAAATTCATGGATCATTCAATCAACAGAAAAGGCTCTGACATATTTATGCTCACTGAAATTGATTCAGCTGGTGTGGCATCCATGAAAAAGCTGAGAACAAAGCAACGTGGCTGTTCCTGCTTGATGTGGATGGCAAGAAGCAGCACGCATTCCAGTAGCTTAGAGGACTACACAGAGGCTCAGCCTATAGGCCACTGGGCGAAGAGCTGAACACATTTGTCCATGTTTGAGGCTGATAAAAGGCTCAGAGAGGACATTATTCCACATGGGCTTTAATAAAATCTCTAGAGATTCACATTTATGATGTCTGAAATCATTACAAGACATAGAGTTTGAGGTTTCTAGATGCTTAAAGCTACAGAGGGGAAAACTGTGGACCTAGCCTGAAATTTCGAACACACACTCAGGTCCTTCCCTCTTGCTCTCTGCTGCAGAACAGCAGTTTTTCCACAACTTGTTCTCCACAGCGGAGCCCGCTGTGAACATAGAGGCTATTTAGCACAGCTATTGGTGATGGGGAACAAACTGCCATGGCTGGTTTACTGGTAGGAAACAAACATCTATGTATGCTTTGTACTGACTCTGTCAAGGTTTGGTTGAGGTTTGAGGACCCAAATGCAGAGGCAGGGAGGCAGAGGTGAGTTTTCTGTCGATTTATTGAGTGATTCACAAACAACTGAGGCAGGAATCCAAAAATCAAAAAAATGGGAAAAAAAAAGTAAAACAAAGCGGACCATGGAGACTTCAGGGGAAAACAATCAAGATGCGGTTAGACACAGTAAGGCGTGGTTAGACAAAGTTAGATGATGAACCAGCACTGAGGAACTGCACAAGGAGAGTATTTATGGTAGACTGAACAAAGAGAGAACTAACGAGCAGATTGGGAGCAGGTGTGAAGAGAGCAGCAAAGGAAGGAGCTAGGGAAAAGGAGAAAGGCTACGTTCACACTGCAGGCCTTGATGCTCAATTCCGATTTTTTTTTTTTGCCTTCCCGGTTCATATTTCCAAATATACGCGACTTGTATGTGAACTACTGTGTGAACTGCAGTCATACAAGTGTGCATGCGCAGTAGGGGACGCAATGAGGTCACAGGCCAGCGTGCTCTATGTTTACGGAAGAATCCGACCTGGCCGTTCAGACACAGGTCGCATTTGAAAAGATCAGCCATAGCAAAGTGGCCTGGGTGGGATTGGAAAAAATCAGATCTGTGTTGTTCAGACTGCCATGAAAAGATCAGATCCAGGTCGCATAAGGGCAAAAAAAATCGGATTTGGGTCACTTCAGGCTGCAGTGTGAACGTAGCCTAATTCAAGCGGGCAACAGAGGGAAACAAATAAAATCCTTAGAACTCAATATATCCAGCAAAACAGAAATTAAACCAATAAAACTAGAAAACATGGAGCAAAGTAAAACATAACAGAAACAAGACCAGACTCAAACCTGCAGCACACCAACAATCAAGCTTTAA